TCAGGAAGGAACCTCAGAACCCACAGCTGACTGGGGGACATATAAAGGCTCACACATCATTTCTCCCACATTAGGTGTCCGACCAGCTGAATGTGAAGGGTTAGGATCCAGTCTGGGGACTCAACAGTATGGCAATCCAGTGCTCCCAGCAAAGCTGAGACTGTGAGCACGTAGTTATGAGATCCTAAACCCAAATTCAGGGACACTGGTGACCGTGACAGCTCTGCAAAGAATAGAGCAGTGGAAGCAGATATCACTTGAGAATATATATATATATATATTATATATATAATCTCCAAAGTATTATATGAATGGCTATAATTTTCTCTACCAAATGAGGAAACTGAGAGATGAAGTACTTGCCCCAGGACACAAAAGCTGTTTAAAGAGACAGAGGCTGAGCTGAGTATGACTCCAAAACTACTTAAACGTGGCACCCAATATAGGACATAAGCCTTTCATGTAACCCAGAAAGATAAACACAGACTCCGAGCTTTGCTCTTTGAGCAAAGAGGATTGGCATCTAACAATGCATCCAAATTCAAGGAAACATATTCCATGGCATTCTGCGTAGAAAAACCATGGCTGGTGGTGTAGCTCAGAGGTGGAGTGCTTGCCTAGCATTCACAAGGCCCTGAGTATAAGAACCAGAGAGCTAAAAGAGGTGAAAATGGGAGGGGATGGCAAAGAGTCAGCATGTGAGCATGTGATTATTTTAAGCACAATTGTTCAACCTTCATTTACCTTGACCCCTCCTGTTGGAGGATACCTAAATGTGGTTCTATGTGTCATGTGGGACTTCCGACATCAGACTGATAATGATACTCATGGGCTCCTTCAGAATTTTGCAGTGGGTCTTGCCCACCAAGTCCTGTTATTTTTTCAAAACAATTTTTATTTTCTTGTGCTAAGAACACATACTATGCCAGGTATGGTGGTGCATGCCTGTAATTCCAGCACTTGGGAGGGTGAGGCAGGAGGATTGCCATGAATCTGAGGCCAGCCTGTATTACATGTTGAGACCCTGTCTCAAAAAACAAACCGAGAGACAGAGAGAGAGACAGAGAGAGAGAGAGACAGAGAGAGAGAGAGAGAAACATAACATAAAATGGACTCTCTTAACTTTTTTTTGATAGGGATCTCACTGTGTCACTGGCCTTGAAACCCTGGCCTCAAGTGACTTTTTCTCACTCAGCCTTCTAAGTAGCTGGGACATACAGATGTGCGCTACCGTGCTTGGCTTAATAAACTTAAAGGAAAGGTGCCCCCGCTTTCTAGAATTTACTCATCTTACTGAACTGAAACTTCATGCCATTGGTTAGCAACTCTTCATTCTCCTCTTTCCCCAGTCCCTGGAAACTACCGTTTTACTCTTTGATTGTACTGTTTGACTGTTTTAAGGTATGGTAAATCACTGGCACCGTAAGTATCCATCTTTATGTAACTGGTTTATTTCACTTGGTGTGTTATCCTTGAGTTTTCTCTATGTTGTTGTATATTTCAGGATTTCCTTCTTCCTTTAAAGCTAGATAACAATCCATTGTGTGTATGTACTGCACTTCCTCATGCCTTCACTAACTGAAGGACATTTAAGCTGTGAACAGTGACGCAATGACAAAACCTGCTACTTTGAACCATTTTGCATATGCATCGAACTTTTTTACACCATGCTTTTGGTCTTGCTAAAATTGGTCAGTGCTTCTCTTTGTCCATATGAATATATTCCTTACCACAACCTCCAAGACTGCATAATTTAACAATTTCAAGTCTCATCTGCAGTCTTCCCAACCTCTCCTCTGGGCCTCACATAACAGATCTACTCCTGTAAGTTTATAATAAACCTGTGAATTGCTACAGCAAATTAATCAGAGGTGAGAAGGGTTGTGGGAACCTGATGTATGGTTGATTGATCAGAAGCAAGGTAAAAACAACCTGGTACCCAGGACTGGCATCTATGGTCTGGGGGGAAACAGTCTTGGGACTGAATCTTCAACCTTTGAGATGGATGTTGTCTCCAAATCATGTCAGGATTGAATTGAACTTGAGGCTATCCAGCAGTGTCTGCTGAAGGAGCATTGCTTGCTTACTTGTAGTGGGAAATTCTGTATCTTTTGAGGTCACAAAAGTTTTCTGTGTTGATTTATGTGGTAAGAAAGGAATAGAAAAACAGACATTATTTTTTGTAACACATAAATTATATAGGATAGATAACCTGATTTCTTCAGTGGATAAATTGTGTTGTAGAAGAGAAGTGGAGGAAGAACTATGATTAAAAGAGATTAAAATGACACATTAACTATTTTCAATGTGTGGGAATCATTTGAACTCCATTAAAATAACCCACAAAGTAAAGAATGAAAAATGTGTGGCATTTATGAAGCAATTAGAAATATGACTACCAAAAAGATAATGGATGCCAGTGAAAGCTATTTTAGCACTGGGCATGGGGGTGCATGCCTGTAATTCCAGCACTTGAGAGGCAGGAGGATCACTGTGAATTTGAGACCAGTCTGGGCTACATAGTGAGTTCAGGACCAGTTTGAGCTACATAGTGAGATTCTGTCTCAACAAAACACAGAAAAAGAAAGATATTTTAGGTGTGATAACTATACATAACTATGTTTAGCGACACATACTCAAACATTTATGGATGAGATGTCTCTGAGATTTGCTTCAAAATAATGTAGGAGGAGAGGAAGTAGATAAGGATGTGGATGACAATCCAGGATTGTCATGGATTGATGATTTAGGGGTTAGGTGATGGACACATGAGAGGCTCATTACACTATTTGATTTCCTTTTGTGTCAGTTTGACATTCTCCGGGGGAAAAAAGATTAACATTTGTGATACAGCCAACACAGTTTGATTGCAGGTGATCATTTCCACCCTAGCAATTGTGAAAGATTGATTTTAAAAACTTAAAAGTTTCACTCAAAAGATGATTGAAAATTTCAAATGCTAGGAAACATTCATCTGCATTTTCTTCCTCCTACACAATGTACCATAATTGACATCCTGGCCCTAGAATTTGTGTGAAATCATGCACGAGGTGAAGTTAATTGCCAGCTCATTCTGAGTCTCTGACTGGAACTCAGCTGTGATTACCTGGTTCTTGGTTCTTTCTAGTTCAGAGATGCAGCCTCAGCTTAGACTTCCCCTGCTACAGAGACAGGCACTGGCCCCTGCAGCCCACTTTTTTGGTTCCTTATGGCCTAAGATCCTCCAGCTGCTGGCCTTTGTGATGGTCTTTGTGTTTTCTCCAGCTTCAGGACATTTGTTTTTTCTATTCTACAGTGTTCCTCCTTAGAACTTACGGCTTGTTCCTTCCTTTGACCAGATGGATCCTTGGATTTGGATGTCCACATGTTCTCAGAGATGTCTTCTTCTCGACATATAGAAAAGAACTCCACATATTCCAATATTTACCTTGTTTTTTTCAAAAATAGCATTTATCTCTACTTAAGATGGGTAATTTTGTTTATGTATTTATGTCTTTTCTTTGTTTTCTTTTTTTCCTCCTCCAAGGAATGTTAGCTTCCTGAGGGGCAGAGACTTTATCTTGTTACTTTGTACCATAGTTGAATCAATGTCTATTGGATAAATTAATGAATGGCTCTTCGAGGACTACTCTGATAATATTATCTTCTCTGGATAATGGAAAGTGAAAATACTACTTAGCAGCCACTTCCTAGGTAAAGTCCTGAAGTATAGGCTTAAGTATGGAGCACATGTGAATTTCCACATGGGATGCCAGGGATTTTTCTCTTAAAAGATCCTGGTACTTAGGGCAGAGAGATTGTCATCTGGCCTCAAGGGATGTAACCCATAGTCTGTTATAGAATGATGACTTTACCTTAACCTTCCCAGCGATATTCTGGGAGAAAAGTAACTCATCCCAGAAAGGGAACTCATTCTTAATCCACAAATACTATTTGGATTGGTGAGGAGCTTGTGCAGAATCTCAAGTGATCTTTAGACTCAATAATCCTGTATCAGTTTCCTGAGGCGGGGGAACCTATATTGCAATGAAAAAATATCAGTCGAGCCTAAGAGCTATAATAATAGCACAGTGGCTCCACTTTATGGCCTCTTAGTGTTTAATCCAGGTGGGTGAAGATGTTTCAGTTGAGTGACAATCAAGGTGAGCTGTACTCTGCCTCTACATCCAGAGCTGTGGAAGGTGTTACAGGGAAGACTGAGGTGGGACCACAGTTCCAGCAGGCAGGATAGACACCCGTATAGTGAGGAATGACTGTTGGAATGACATGTGTCTCTCTCATTGCTGGGACTAAATACCTAATACCCACAATTTAAGGGAAGAGAGGTTCATTTTGGCTCACAGTTTAGGTTTATGATCAGCTGGCTCCCAGGCAGGAACAGGATGGCAGAGAGGCATGATGGAGGAAAGATGCTCAACACAAGGTGGCCAGGAAGCAGAGCAAGAAGAGAGGAGCTGGGGACAAGTATACACCTCTCCAGGTCACGCCTCAGGGATCCTGCCCCTCCTAACAGCACACCCAGCTACTAAGCTCATCAATGGGTGAATCCACTGATGATATAAAACCCCCATGCTTTAATCACCTTCCAATGCATGAGAATTTAGGGGGACATTTTGGATCTAAACATAACAATTTGGGAACCGGATTTGGTGATGCACACCTATAATCCCAGCACTTGGGAGGCTGAGGCAGGAGGATTGCCTGAAGTTTGAGGTCAGCCTAGGCTACATAATGGATTCAAAACCAGCCTGAACTTCATATCAAGACCTTGACTCAAAGAAACAAGCAAACAAAACCAACCAACCAAACAAACAAACAAAATAATTGTAACAACATGAGAGCTTCATAGTACACACTGGAGATGAGAGAAAGAGAGTGTCTGGGTCAGTCATGGTTCATTCCAGTGAGGCTATATTAAAACACACACACACTCACCACCCTCCCTCCACACCCCCAAATTCAGTGGTGTTCAACATCCACGCCAAATTTATGTGTCTTACCTGCAGGTGTTTAAGTCAGCTGTGGTGGTTCTGCTTTAGGATGTGGCTCTGGCCAAGTTTGCCCCTCAAATTTCTCATGTAAGGACCAGTAGCTCCTCTAAGCTGATGGCACAAGTTCAAGAAACCCAGCCAAACCATGTAAGCACATTAAAAAACCTCTTCTCAGATCACACCAATTACTATTTCATTGTCATGCAAATCACATAGTCAAATCCAATATCCATGGGTCATGAAATTACATTCTGTCTTCTTCAATGGGAGACCCTGAAAAAGTCCCATGACAAAGGCTGTGGCTATTTCATTCTATTGCAAGGAGAGAGTAAAGAATCAAGAGCAGAAATCCAGTCTCCCACAGGGCCCATGATGGCTGTTTGGAGGCACAAGTGAGTTACCATGGAGACATCTTGAATGAGAAGAGTGAAACTGAACAGCGCAGAAAGCCCAGAAAGCCCAGGAATGTTCTTTTGTTACTGTCACTTAGATCATAGTCCTTGATTTGCACCCCCCACCCCCAGGCTAAAATTTGAACCTTTTTTTGGTTTTTATCTCCAGGCTAAATTTGAGTCTAGGGAAACTCAGATTATAGGACCATGAACAATCTATCTCTGGCCGGAGGGAAGGCTGGAATTGTGAGCACGTAGAGCTTGTAGATTGTGGCTTTAACCAAACGGCCGCATACTGTGTAGTGAAATGCAGCAATCAAACCTGGTGTCTGTTTCAGGTTTGTATAAAATTACAGATAAAGTTAGTTCTTTGCTATGATTTGGATATGTTTTAAGTGTGTCTCCCAAGGGTTCACGGTAGAATGTTTATGAAACAGAACCTAGTAGTGGGTCACTGAGGCTAGCTTCCTCAGGAACAATTGATATGGTTTTTGTGGGATCTTCATTAATTTGCAAGAGAGGGTTGCTATAAAAAAGCAAGTCTGGCACCTCGCTAGTATCTACCATCTTCTTTCTCTCTTGGATATTTCCCTGTCACAGGCACTCCCATCACAATGCCATTGGCCATGATGTGATACAGCCAGGGGGCCTTTATCAGAGCTAGTGTCATGCTGTCTGAACTTTCATCCTCCAAAACTGTGAGCTAAATAAACCTCTTTTTTATTTTATTTTTTTAAAAGAGAAGGTAAAACTAAACATACAAAAACAGAACAAAGCAGATCAGAAGAAAACAATGTAAGTGACACATTTCAAAACAAGACAACAGGAGATCTACAGTGGCTACCATAATGTCTCTTGTTTTCTTCCAAATGGTTGTCTATATTTTCACACACAATGAATTCATACAGCATAAAATAGTATAAAACTGCTCAGGACAGGGTAATGAAGGCCTTCAAAATCAGACAATATGCAAATTAAAAATGACTGCCATAATGTCTCTTGTTCTCTTCAAAATAGCTGTCCATAACTTCATGTATGTTGAAATTAAATAATACAAACAGACTAAAACCACTCTGAACAAAGAATAGAACTAAGGAATATCCATTCTTCAATCATTATTGGATTTCACGGCATGATGATACCAAATAGATATCATAATGTCTGCTTTTCTTCAAAATAGCTGTTCATTTCATCACACATAATAAAATTGATTCTCATAAACTGTTTAGGAGAAGTTCTAGGCATGTATAAGCCTCTAAATGTATACCTATCCTTTCTTCATTAGAGCAAAAAGCAAAGCAAAACAAAACAAAACAGATTACTAGAAAAATAAGAAACAAAAAGACAAATAACAGTAGCAAAGAGCCCAAAACAATAATGATCAGGCCTTCAAAACATGGTGGTAGGAACAGAACTAAGGCTGATATTTTACATAGTGATCTTCAAGAGTTCCTCAGGTCACCTGACACAAACATGTAAAATTGTTCCAAGCCTATGAATATTAACTGCTTTGTTCTATGAACTTACAGAATTTGTAGCATAATTGTCTTAGCTATCCTGTGTTTATACAAATTTAGATATTTTTTCTTTTCCCTTCCTTTTTCTTTTCCCTGAGATATTATTTTTTTCCCTTTGAGAAGATTCTTACCCTTTCACACTATTTATTGAGAATTTTGTATCTTATGTACTCTTACCATTTCTAACAGTAGGGAGACAATATAGTATTTACTCATGTGAGTTTTTGATTTATTTCACTTATGAAGTTGCATCCACTTACTTATAAATATCTCAGAATGATCATTCTTTATAGCTGAGTAGTACTCCATTGTATAAAAGTACCACATCTTTTTTATCCATTCCTCAGTTGATGGGCATTTAGATTGTTTCCAAGATCTGGCAATTACAAATTCTGCTGCTATAAACATGGGTGCACATATATCACTGTGGTATGATGTTTTCAATTCTTCTGGGAATATGCCTAGAAGTGGAATAGCTGGGTCAAATGAGACTTGCAATCCCAGCTTTTTGAGGAACCTCCAGACTGACCTCCACAGTGGTTGCACAGGTTTATACTCCCACCAACAGTGCAGAAGAATTCCTTTCTCTACCCGCAGCCTCTCCAGCATTTGTTGTTGGTAGTTTTCTTGATCCTGGCCATTCTTTCTGGAGTGAGATGGAATCTCAGTGTGGTTTTGATTTGCATTTCTCTAATGACAAATGATGCTGAACATTTTTTCATGTATTTATTTGCCATTTGTATTTCTTTATCTGAGAACTGTGTATTCAACTCAGATGTCTATTTTTTGATTGGGTCTTTGAATTTTGGGGGTCTGATTTTTAAAAATTCTTTATATGTTCTAGACAGAAGTCCTTTGTCTAAGGGACAGTTCACTAAGATTTTTTCAAAATTCATGGGTTTCCTTTTTACTCTGTTGGAAATCTCTTTTGACATGCAAAAACTTTTTAATGAGATTCCAGTTACTGATTATGGGAAGTATTTACCATGTAGTTTGATTTTTGTTCATGACTTCTCTACCTACCCCTATGTCTTCAAGATTTCTACCTACTTTGTCTTCCAGCAGATTTAGTGTTTCTGTTTTAATATTTAGATCTTTGATCCATTTAGACTTTAGCTTAGTACATGGTGATAGGCATGGGTCTAGTTTTAGTTTTGGGCATACGGAGAACCAGTTTTTCCAGCACCATTTATTAAAGAGACTATTTTTCTTCCAGTGAATGTGTTTGGCCCCTTTATCAAAGATAAAGTGGCTGAGTGTGTTTGTAGTAGTAGTTGTAGCTTCTAATCTATTCCATTGATCTTCAGATCTGTATTATTCCAGTACCATTCTGATTTTATTACAGTAGCTTTGTAGTATAACTTCAAGTTGTCTTTGTTCCTCAGAATTGCCTTTGCTAATTCTTGGTCTTTTCCTGTTCCAGATGAATTTTAGGAATAATTTCTCTAGGTCTGTGAGATATACTAGTGGTATTTTGATGGGGATTGCATAAATCTGTATAAAAATTTTGGGAGAATGGCCATTTTCACAATATTTGTTCTTCCTATCCATGAACAGGAAAGTCTTTCCATTTTCTGAGATCCTCTTCAATTTCTTTTTTCAGGGTATTATAATTTTCCCTGAATAGATCTTTCACCTCTTTTGTTTGATTGATTCCTAAGTATTTCATTTTATTGGATGCTAGTGTGAAGGGTGTGGCTTCTCTTATTTCTCGCTCAGTGAGTTAGTTGTTTGTATATAGGAATGTGATTGATTTTTGAGTATTGACTTTGTATCCAGCTATATTGCTGAGTTTATTTATTATACCTAGAAGTCTTTCAATAGAATTTTGGGGACCTTTTAGGTAGACTATCATGTCATCATCTGCAAATAATGATAATTTAACTTCTTCTTTTGCTATCCTTACTCCTTTTATTTCTCTCTCTTGCTAATTGCTCTGGCTAGTATTTCCAGTACTATGTTGAGTAGGAATGGTGATAATTGACATCCTTGTCTTGTGCCTGATTTTAGGGTAAAGACTTTCAGTTTTTGATCATTTAATATGATGATGGCAACAGTTTGTCCTAGATGGCTTTTATCATATTGAGGTAAAGACTATCCCAATTTTCTGTAAGGTTCTTATCATGAATAAGTGTTGGACCTTATCAAAAGCTTTTTCTGCATCTGTAGAAATGATCATGTGATTCTTATTTTTGGTTCTATTGATATGGTGGATTAAACTTATTGATTTGTGTATGCTGAACCATCTCTGCATTCCTGGGATGAATCCCACTTGAGCATGATGTATAATCTTTTTGATGATTTGCTGCATTATGTTTGCCAATATTTTACTGAGATTTTTGCATCTATGTTCTTTAGGGAGATCGGCCTGTAGTTCTCTTTTTAAGTTGGGTCTTTCTCAGGTTTTGGTACTAGAGTAATATTTGCTTCCAGGAATGACTTAGGAAGGATTTCAATTTTCCATTTTCCCTTTCAATTTTATTGAAGAGTTTGGGGAGTGTCGGCATTAAGTCTTCTTTGAATTTCTTGTAGAATTCTGCAGTGAATCCATCTGGGCCTGGGCTTTTCTTTGTTGGTAAGGATTTAATTACATTTTCAATTTCATTAATTGAAATTGGGTATTTCAGCAGTTTTATATTTGCTTGACCCAGCTTTGGTATTTCATATGTTTCTAGCAATCTGTCCATTTCTTCTGTGTTATCAAACCTATGAGAGTAGAGGTTTTCGAAAAAGGTATTGGTAATCTTCTGTATTTCCACAAGGTCTGTAGGGATTTCACTCTTTTCATTCTTTATTGCATGAATTTGAGTTTTTCTTTCCTTTTTAAAATAAGTTTGGCTAGAGGCTTATCAATTCTATTTATGCTTTCAAAAAACTCTTTGATTCATTGATTCTTTGGATTGTTTTCTTAGTCTCTATTACATTGATTTCTGCTCTGACTTTTATAATTTCCTTCTTTCTTTTGGCTTTGGGTTTAACTTGCTCTTCTTTTTCTAGATGTTTGAGGTGTAACATCAAGTTGTTTGTGTTCGTTCTGTTTTCGTGATGTGGGAATTTACTGCAATAAATTTTCCTCTGAGGACTGCTTTCATTGTATCTCACAGGTTCTGGTAAGTTGTATTTATATTTTCATTTGCTTGTAGTTATTGTTTAATTTCTTCTTTAATTTCCTCTGCTACCCACTGATTGCTCAGGAGTGTATTATTCAATTTCCATGCGTTTGCAGTTTGTTTTGTCATTAATTTCTAGTTTCATGGTGCTATGATTTGATAATATGCATGGGATAATATCAGTTCTTTTACGTAAGCCTGTTCTGTGGGTTAGTCTATCATCTATTTTAGAGAATGTCCCATGTGCTGCTGAGCAGAATGTATATTCTGATGTTGTTGGGTGGAGCACTCTGTATATGTCCACCAAGTCCATTTGTTCACAGGCGTGATTCAGTTCTGTAATTTCTTTGTTGATTTTCTGTCTAGTTGATCTGTCTGTTTGTGTCAAGGGGGTGTTAAGGTCTCCCGTTGTAATTGTGTTATTGC